ATTAGCTTCTAAATTTTCTTTTTATTAGGTTTTTTATAGCCTGGCTTGGGCTTGTACTTTATTTAGTATTCTTATATAAAATATCTATACTTTCTATATAGGAAGTACTTACTAATTTTATCTTTAAATAACTTAAAAATAATATTCTTTTTACTAGTTCCTAGTTCTATAGGTTTTAAGTAGGTTCCCTATAAGGTATTATTATTACTTCTCTTCTATTTAATATTAATAGAAGCTTATAGTTTATAGGTTTTTATTATAGTATTATAATTATACTTCTATTATCAGCATTTATATAGTTAGTTATTAATCTTAATAATACTTTCTATATACTTAGCTAATTATACTAGTTTTTTAAACTTATAGAATTTATTTTTAATTTCTTCTTTAAGCTTATTATAAAAATAGATTATTAAGGGTTTATCTCCTTAGTTAAAGTATATAGTAATTTATTTAAATTTAATAATATATTTAGCTATAGATCTTTTTTAGTTTAACTTTTTAAGTTGTCAAATTATAGCTTATTATTTATTAGGTTCTTTAAAAGCTTTTTTAAGGGCTTCTTTAAATATTTTATAGTTATTAAAGATTTTAATAATCTTAGCTTATTATCTAATTTCGTTGTTTTCTAAGTAATCTTGAAAAGTTAGTTTAAACTAGGTAAGTATTTAGGTAGATATAACTAGTAATAGGATTAAGGTATTATCTATTAGTAGTAGAGTAAGATAGTTAAGTAGTATTTATAAAATATAAGTAAGAAGTATATATTTAAGTATAGGGGTATAGTTATATTTAAATTAACTATTAGAGAGTCTTAAAAGATAAATTAGATATATAGAATAAACTATAGCTTATATAGATATTTCTCTTCTAAACTCTCCTATATAGGTTAGTTCTTAAGTTAATTAATTAATTACTTAGGTTTATAATTAATTAGTTACTTATTAAGTTAATTAATTAGTTACTTCTTAGTAAAAGCAACTATATAACTTATAATTCTACTATGCTACACCGCTTCCTCGTGACCTGGTCGCGGCTACATTGTAATATTTAAAGGCTATATAATAACTAATTAGTAAATTAGTAAATTATTTTTCTTATTTTTAGTTTATTCTTTTTATTAAGCTTTTAATCTTCTTCTTAAAAATTTCTTAAAACTTTATTAATTTCTTTTTAATACTAGTTCTAGTACCTTTTATAAAATTAATCTATTCTCCTAGGTCATTAATTTATTATTAAAATTCTATTTAAAGGTCTTTACTATAGAATATTATTTCTAATTAATTAGCTTATTTTTAAATATTAAAAATAACTTTCTATTATTTTTAGACTTATAAATTAATTTCTTAAAGGGTATAATATAGTTAGTTAATCTATCCTTATAAATTAATTAAGTTACTTTTTATATCTATATTTTATTTTATTTATATAAAATTCCTTTTATTAATACCCCCTTTTACTTCTTTCTATACTTATTCTCTTTATATAGCTACTTTAGATTAATATTATTTTCTTTTTAATTAAACTCTTTATTAGTAGTCCTTCTATCTTTTATTATAAAGTTAGTAGCCTATTAGTAACTTTAGGGTATTTTTCTATATCTTAATAGTTTATTAATATAAGCTTCCTAGCTTATCTTTATTTAAGCTAAATTATTAGATAGGCTTAGTATATAGGGTTATCTTTTTTTTAGTTTTTATAAGTTTTTTTAATTTTAACTTATATATAGGTTATTATAGTAAGTATAATATATAGTAATAGTATTAGTATACTTCTTTATAGTACTATTTATAGAATAGGTCTTCTAGTATTAAGGTTTTAAACTTTCTTAATAATTTTTATTAGATTTTTTTAATATAGTTTTTAATTTTTAGAATTTTAGTAATTTTTTTTATTATATTATTTTAAAAGTTTAGAATTTCTTAAAGTATTATCTAGCTCTATCTTTTTTACTTTAGTAAATAATATAGTTATTATTATAATATATAATCTATAATAGGGATTTATAATTAACTATACTAGTTCCTAATTATTAAGCTTTTCCTTTAAATACTAGTTTCTAAGTTTTCTTTCTATTAAGTTTCTTATAACCTGGCTTAAGCTTATACTTTATTTAGTATTCTTATATAAAATATCTATATTTTCTATATAGAAAATATTTACTAATCTTATCTTTAAATAACTTAAAAATAATATTCTTATTACTAATTTCTAGTTTTATAAGTTTAAAATAAATTCTCTATAAGGTATTATTATTACTTTTTTTCTACTTTATATTAATAAAGGTTTAGGGTTTATAAGCTTTTATTATAATACTCTAGCTTTATTTCTACTATTAATATTTATATAATTAGTTATTAATCTTAATAGTACTTTCTATATACTTAGCTAATTATATTAGTCTTTTAAGTTTATAAAATTTATTTTTAACTTTCTCTTTAAGTCTATTATAGAAGTAGGTTATTAGGGGATTATCTCCTTAGTTAAAATATATAATAATCTACTTAAACTTAGTTATATATTTAGTAGTAGATCCTTTTTAGCTTAGCTTTTTAAGTTATTAAATTATAGTTTACTATTTATTAAGCTCTTTAAAAGCTTTTTTAAGGGCTTCTTTAAATATTTTATAGTTATTAAAGATTTTAATAATCTTAGCTTATTATCTAATTTCGTTGTTTTCTAAGTAATCTTGAAAAGTTAGTTTAAACTAGGTAAGTATATTATCTATAAGGTACTAAGCTACTATAGTAACTTTATTAGCTTTAGTATAGAACTAGTTTTTGTAATATTATAGGAAAGTTTTTATCTAGGTTAAGAACCTTTATAGTTTCTACTAGTTCTTTTTATACTTATTAGGTATAGTAATCTTAAGTTTAGGTATTATAGGTATATTTAATATAGGGAGGGTACTACCTCCTTTAGCTATAATATTAGTATTTAACTATTAGATTATCTACTCTAGCTAAATAATTTATTATTTTGTAAGGATATACTGTGTATAGCTCGAGGAAAGGCCAGTGTCACTTAGAATCGTGTTCAACCAAAAGTCAATTGAATATGTAAACTTCAACTTGCTTCCTGGATTCCTTGTGTACTGCGTGAGCCCCCTTTTCTCCGACCACGCTCCGACTGGGCTCCGCAGCTGAGTCATCCTGGCAGCAAGTCCCGTGATACAGTGTGCTCTCGCTTGTGCCTTACATATTTAATCTAGAGGTTAATATTTTACTACTAAATAGTAAAGCTTTTAATATCTTTTAACTTATTCTATTATCTACTTATAGTACTGTAAATCTCCTAGATATCTTTTCTATACTTATCTTCATTATTAAAGTTATTGTTAACCTCTATAGTAGATGTAGTTACTTTATATATTTCAATTTCATTATCTAACTTAAAAGGTGTCTTTTCCTTTATAGGTATTATAATTTTTAGATATTAATACTACTTAATAAAGTTACTTACTAAATAAAAGTAGTTAATATATTATAATCCTAATATTAGAGACTAAAATATTAGGTAGGTATAGCTAGTATTAGGGTTATAGGTGCCTGTTATGAAGTAAGTAAGGTAGTTAAGTAGTATTTATAAGATATTAGTAAGAAGTATATATTTAAGTGTAGGGGTATAGTTGTATTTAAATTGACTACTAGAGAGTTTTAAAAGATAAATTAGATATATAGTAGAACTTGTAGTTTATATAGATATTTCCCCTCTAAGCTCTCCCTTAGTTAGTTGCACTCCTACTTGACTAATTAGTTAATTGGAGGTTTGATTGTTCTATTAGATTTTTGTTTGACTGACTAGTTGGACTTGGTCCTGTCTGACTCCTCTGTTATGTGATCCTTTATTTTGCTGTGCTACACTGCTTCCTTGTGACCTGGTCGCGGCTATGTCGTGACAAGAGACACCGGCGGCCCGCAGAACGATCTCATTCAGAGGACAGCAACTAGCAAGACTGCTTAGGAAACTTTGGCTAATGAATTGTTAGACGCGCTTCGAGATCGCAATTCAAATGGCTATATTGTGATGATTGCCTACTTACAAGGCTGTCTCTTATTAAGGCTTGTGCTGTAGGACTTTATAAGGGATGATCAGTATCGGGACGCAATGGCAAAACGACTAAGAGTCTTCACTTTCGGGAATCCGAGCATCGACTGGATGGCTATGAGCTACGAAAACAAGATCCCTATCTGCGACCGCGTTAACTATACTGAGCATTTCGCGAACCAGAAGGATTTTGTTGTAAAGCTTGGAGTGCTAAGGACAGGTCGGGAGGAAGACCTACAATCGGCCGGCTATACGCACGAAAAATCGTCGGTGTTCGTTAACACCTCTGAGGACTGGGTAGGTTATATGTTTGGGACCCAATACAGTCTTAGATCGGAAGAGTATGATAATGGAGAAAGGTCTAAGTTGTTGGCATGTGTTGGTGGGAGGCCTATGGAATGACAGGGCCGATGCATCAACCCTCCTATTCGTTAACTCAAAACCGAAGGACAGGCTCTTAAACCTGTTTCAGTTCCATCCTCTGTTTTCTTTTTGTATGCCGTGTTGCGGCTAGGCTGCACTGGTCCATCTCATTATCATCAGGAAGAAATTTATCTACATGACCATAGTACTTGATATAGCGGAGGCGTACCGAATACGAATGGAAGATGGAGGTTGCCGTCCACTACATGATTAGGCTAATATGTGACGGATGGGAATGTAAGGCAAGTGCCTCTCTTCTCCAGCTTGATATTAAAGGCGCCTTCGATGGAGTCAACTATACTCGGTTGCTTGATATGCCACGGCAACGAAGCTTCCCTGTGTGGCGCGCAGCCACCGTACAGGGTGGGCAGGTAACCTAGGTTAAACCTAGAATCTGGAGAGTTTGCCAAGGGTTACGGAAAATGGTGTACGTAAGTGAGACACGCCAATCATTAATGGTGATCTAGTCACTGCAGATATGCTTCGTATCACTTATCTTGCTACATCTATTTCTTAGTCGTTGACCCCTTTTACCAAGAATCAGTAACAGCCCCATGACTAGCATCTCCAACTAAGCATGCATACTTCGCGAGAACACCCCTCTTCGGTCTCCTCTCCGGCGCTTTCCAGCTCTGCGCCCTCCTCAGCAGCTCCTCTGCACTCACGTCCATGTCAATGCGATTCTTCACGGCATCAATTGTCACCACATCACCATCCTGCACCAGTGCAATCGGTCCGCCCACCTCTGCCTCGGGGGTGACGTGGCCCACGATGAACCCGTGCGAAGCGCCGCTGTAGCGTCCGTCGGTTACGAGGGCCACGTTGGTTAGTTGCGCACCCATTATCGCTGCTGACGCGCGCAGCTGTTCTGGCATACCGGGGCCGCCTTTGGGGCCCTCATAGCGCACGATGAGGACTAGGTTGCCGTCCTCGCGTTTGATTTCGCCCTTGGAGAGCGCCTCGTCGAGTTCATGTTCCTTGTTAAATACTCTAGCCTTGCCGGTGAAACTCAGCCCTTCCTTGCCTGTGATCTTGGCCACGGCACCGCCAGGCGCGAAGTTCCCCTTGAGGATGCGAATGTGCCCACTCGCCTTGATAGGATCTTCTAAGGGGCGGATTATCTGCTGGCCAGGATCTAGGCTTGGCCAGCTTGCAACGTTCTCTGCGAGCGTCTTTCCAGTAATAGTCATGATGTCGCCGTTGAGGACGTTTTTGGCAATCAGCATCTTGATAATGGACGGTGTGCCGCCAACTTTGTATAGGTCTTCCATGTAGTATTTCCCGCTAGGGGCGAGGTCTGCTAGGTAGGGCGTACGATCACTTATACGCTGGACATCGTCAAGAGTCAGGGGTACATCTGCCGTGTTAGCCATAGCGAGGAAATGTAGGACGCCGTTTGTCGAGCCGCCGAGGATCATGGTTAGGGTTAGGGCGTTCTCGAAGGCTGCACGTGTCATGATGTCTCTCGGTCGAAGGTCCTTTTCCATTGTAGTGCGAATCACCTCGGCGGCTTGTTCGCATTCTCTTGCCTTCTCGGGGGATTCAGCAGGAAATGAAGATGAGCCAGGCAGACTCAAACCCATAGCTTCAATAGCAGTAGCCATTGTATTGGCAGTATACATCCCACCACATGCACCAGCCCCAGGACAAGCGTGTCGTATAATATCCTCCATGACATCCTCACTCTCCCTCCCGTTTGCCCCCGGGTTTGTCTTTGCATTCAGACGGCCGTAGGCGAGCGCTCCGGAAGCCTCGTAGCAGGTACTGATGTTGATGTGATTCTCCAGGAGTGATGAGTGACCTTTGCGGATGGTGCCGCCGTAAATCATGATGAAGGGCCGGTTGTGGCGGGCGGCGGCCATGACGACGCCGGGCATATTCTTATCACAGCCGGGAATACTGATATTCGCGTCGTGATGCTGCGCGCACGTTACGGACTCGATGGAGTCGGCTATGAGTTCACGGGTTTGGAGAGAGAAGCGCATGCCTGGTTTCATTAGCATCTTGCTCTTTCAGGGAAGACGATATATCAATAGGAAGGGGAGGAGTTAACCTTCGCCGCCCATGGTGATGGCGTCGGACACACCGACTGTGTTGAACTGCCACGCGATCATATTCTCCCTCTCTAGGGCTTTCTTGACGATGCGTCCGAGATCGAGGACTGAGATATGTGAGCCAAGTATTCATGACGATCTTATTAAGTGCGTCACCTACGATGAGTGCTGTTTCATCTTTGTTAGCACGCTAGAGTTCTCAAATGTTGGAGAAAAAAAAACCCACTTGCAAGGATTGCCCTCCCACCAGACTGTGGCAACGCCAATTTGAGGTGCATTCTTCATTATTTCCCGGTTCGGCACACCGGCTCCGTAAAGCATGGCCTGAGCCCAATATCAGCTGAAGATCTTGAACGATTCGAAGCTGAAATGGGTGACTGTTCGTACCTGAGCGCCGGGGTAATCATGTCCTCTTGTAATCTTTGTCGACCATCGGTTCAGAGGGCCACCCGGCGGCAGGCATGGGAATTGGATGTAGTCACTCGATGCCTTGGGGTCCTGAGTAGGGGCCGGCTGGCCGTTTGTGGGCTGTTGGTCCGCCATTATGGATCCGAGTAGTCGCAAGTTCGCGTTGCGGTTGTATTTGTAGAAGGAAGAAAGAACGTCGTCAAGATAGTGAGGTGTTTTACGGTGAGATTACGGCGCATCTGTATTCGCTTGCCACTGTCTGCTTCAAGTCAGTACCGTTGGTTCAGAAGGTAGTTATAGTTCGAGATATGGGAACGAGTTTGATGGCCAGTGACGGGTGGCAAGATTTCACCTTAGAATTCCTTCATTCAACTTGGGATAGTTGAATAAGAATAGAGCTGGTGAAAGCTTCGACTGTATGCAGACTTTATGGTAACAAGGCAAGTTGCGCAGAACATATGTGCTATAGGTCAAACATGGCAGAGAAGTGTTCTTGGACAGGCATATACATTGTGCAGCTAGCGTCCCAGTTCGGCCATTAAAGGCGATGGACTGCCGTGTGATATTCGTCATCCACGTGGCTAGAGGATATAGGATACTTGGACTGTATCATTTCTTGAATCTGGTGGCGAGAGACTCCGCTACTGGCCTCATCTCCTACAGTCTAGCAACACGAGGAGTTGAAGCCAGAGTGTACTGGATTAGTGAACTTATAGACGAATCCAACAAATGACGAGCTAGTGACGAAAACAGCGAGCGAGATGTATAACTGGAAGGACGACTTCAAGGAAGCCGAACCCTAGAAGTGGCTGGATCACTCTCCAGAAACAGATCGAGAAGACGGCCGCCCATTATCTGATTCTCTAGGAATGATCATAGTGCCCCACTTGAATGATAGTTATGACACAGATCTGGAGAAAAGTAGCTGCGAAATGGAGCAATCACGAGGTCGCTAGTCGTAAGACTTACGTGCCGGGATTGCAAGCTATCCCGGGAACCGAGCATTAGCTCGACATCAAACCGGGCTTGTCACTCGATGATCTGCAAACCCCGCAATCCTGAGGTCCCCCCACAACCAAACTTACCGTAATTGCGGAGATCCTGGGGGGTTTCTCTGATAGAATTTCCCGAAACGCAGATTCGGAGCGCCCAAAAGGATCCCGCAGTCCGGAAGTCAATTTGCCTAGCGATTGAATTGTGGGGATTCTGGGGTTTCGCCTGTGTCGCTTGACAGAAATTTCCTAAAATGGATATTTGGGGCGCCGAGAAAACTCTCTCAAATAGGATATTTCAGACGCCAACACTAATGCCTGCCTTGTGGAGCCCGAGCACATCGTTTTTGAGAGAAGAGCGGATCCTTGGGAGGGTCCTCGGAAACTGTTTCCATCCTTGCAGGGTAGGCCTGAACTTCAAGTTGTCATCAAACACAGCTAGTCCCGTCTGAAGCGCGCTCTCTTATGGTCACCGGCATATTTTGGATTGGGAAAGCTGTTCACGTACCTCGGCCGCTACTATGGAAGGCTTCCCCACGTACTTACTATTTATTTAAAAGGAGGAGGGGAAAAGAACAATCCTCTGACTTCTGATGCTCAAACTGCCTCCTGGATTGACGTCGACGAGTAAGAACTAAGAACCGAAGAGCCACTTGCCTCCCCTTCTGTCGCAACCACCCATTGATCCGGCCCAACACCATTGATGATGTCTGTCGATATTCCGAGGCAAGGATGGGCCGGTGTTGTCGTCAACGAGGGCCCGGACTTCACTGTTGAAGTTCAGAAGCTCGACGTTCCAGAGCCCAGTAAGTGCGCTACTAGATCTCGATCAGGACACCCAAAGAGCTCTAACCCATGTCCAGAGGATGATGAGCTCCTTGTGCGGCTCAATGTTACTGGTTTATGCATGTCTGATGTCCACTACATGCTAAACGACTGGGTAGCGCCCAAAATGTCTGAATATGGCGTTAGGTGTGCTGGCCATGAGGGAGCCGGTGTTGTTGTCAAGGTTGGCATAAAGTGTCAGGACTTGTGGAAAGTCGGAGATCGTGTTGGAATCAAGCCGTTTCTTGATGTCTGCCACAATTGCGAACAGTGCTGGAATGGTCGTGAAAATTATTGTGTGAAGCCTAACTACACTGGCCTGATGTCGCCTGGCACATACCAGCAATATCTGGTAACACCGGCTATCTACACAACCCGAATCCCTGACGGAGTTCCTGATGAGGTGGCTGGCCCAATTATGTGCTCAGCATCGACAATGCATCGTGCTCTTATTGATTCAGGTTTAAAGCCTGGTAACTGGGTTGTGTTCCCAGGTGGAGGTGGTGGAGTTGGTATTCAAGGCATTCAGCTTGCAAAGTAAGTGTCTTTCCCTTGAATTGTTCGCATCTGTTAAAGGAGAAAAAACAAGGAATGCTAGGGAAACATTAAGAGTTATCTTATTATACCTACTACAGAGTCTTAGATAGACTCGTGGCCGGCTATTTACAGACCTCATGTAGCCGCTGTCTAGAGTTCGGCGAGGAAATCGACTGATGTGGAATAAGAGGTATATAATTTTATAGCTAATAACATATCTAGGGCTATGGGAATGCGGCCGATCGCGATTGATGGCGGGGAAGCCAAGAAGAACCTGTGCCTTAGTATGGGTGCCGAAGCTTTCGTCGATTTTAAAGAGACTACTGAAGTTGTAGCCGAGGTCATCAAAATTGCTGATGGAATCGGTGCGCATGGTGTTTTGGTGACTGCGTACCAAGCATACAAAGGCAAGTCTGTACCAATCCCTTACAAGTGAAACAGGCTAACAAGCCGCCCTCCCCAGACGCTATAAAGTTCGTGGGTGACAGAATAGGGGCCAAGATCATGTGTATTGCTCTCCCTCCAGCCGGCGAGGTCCAACTCAGCAGCGAACCGAGTACGTGGGTGTTCAAGAACTTGCATGTCATTGGCACGCTCGTAGGCACGATGCAGGATACTGCCGCTTGCCTTGATTACGCTAAACGCGGGTTACTGAAGGGAATTTCTGAAGTACGAGGAAGGTCCCAGTGGGCTGAGAGCGTGCAACAGCTGAGGAGGGGTGAGGTTGCGGGACGTGTTGTGATAGACTTCAATAGGGAATAAGGGATGGCTCTAGGGTCTTGTCAGTCGTTGGCTTATAAGAGCAGCAACGATACAAGGTTGGCAGAAAGCAATTCGCATGTAGAGTACCTTTCGTGTCCACAGCCCCTGCTGAAGACAAACTCGCGGACGTCTGAGGCTCTTCAGTCATCAAAACCTGCTTCTCTAAGTATCTCATAGAGGAGCACCACAGTTTAATATTCCTCTCATCCAGACTTCCTCCGCGATTTCCCGTGCTTGACAGTAGGTGTATATGAGGGCCGTAAAGTCAATACAATACCGCTCTTGCAAACTCAGATGGTTTATATCGTGGTTCAAGACTCTAGAGGTCTGTGCTTCCGCTTCTTGTCCTACGAAGCGCCTGGGACCGTCTTCGCTCACGGGTTGCTTCCGTCGTTTGGCGAATATGCATGGCTCTTAAGATCAGGGACTCGGCGAGAGACACTACACAGGTTTAATATAGTTCTATAACATTTCATTCTAGACCAATCCACAACACGAACCAGGGACATAGAGCCGCTGCAACAAACCGCAGCCAGTGATTCAAGTGTATATAAAACGATAAAATGACGCGTAACAAGCTGAACTTTACAGGGATACGCAGTGACAAGGAGTCATAGAGCTGCATCTGCCACCTTCTCTGACTGCGAGGAAGAATGCTGGGCAGAATGTAAAGTCGCGTATTGTCACGCCGGTAGTCATCATAGGCGAGAACAAAATAAAGTGATATAATAAACCCGACCTGCTTGATGCCGACGAAAACACCTATTCTCATTCTCTTAGTGGTCACTTGAGAGAGAGAGAGAGAGAGAGAGAGAGTGCGTGTGAGTGTGAGAAAGAGAAGCAGAAAAAGAAAGGGGCGAGTCAATACCTATTTCTATCTCTCTTCCGCCTCTTCCGCGCGTGGAATTTAACGTAGCCACTATGTCTAGACAATGTAGATATCAATCAACCAGCGCCTTCTATAGCGGAGTCAGACAGCGTCGAGGAGCACATTCACCGACTTTATCGATGAGGCTCGGACGTATTTAAATATATTTTAAATAGGGGGGTTTTCTAGTGGTATTCTTTGAAAGGAAATTAGAAAAGTCTATCAGAGAATAGAGGAAACAGAACTTTGAGGTTGTGCTTTATGTAGTTACTATTGTAGCTAGCAAGGTTTATATAGGGCATAATGTTATGGCCTGGCCACGATTTCGGCCACGCCAGAGCGGTGAGACACAGCGGAATGTCACGGCCACAGATGGCCCAGACCTGAGGCCAGGTAGTCAAGCCCGGCAGAAAAGGAATCACGGGAAGGATAGGTCACCCACACTCACGGTGATCCACAAGTGATCCAAATCGAGCAGAATCACGGTGAGCTAAAGTGATCTAGGGAGAGCTTGGAAGGGAAACGCTGCGGCTTCTACCATGTGTCTAGTTTGTATTCCAAGACTCTCTAGGAGTCAATTCAAGTACAACTACACCCCTACACTTGAATACACACTTCTTACCCATATCTTGGTGAATACTGCGTGATTGCCTCACTTACTTCATAAGAGGCGCCCTTTGACACTACACCAGTTGTATCCACCTGATACCATCAACGGGCTAGTGTTAGGATCGTAACAATCTAGAGAGTATGGTTTATACTGTTACTGCTATGGGCTGTGAGGTCTATTAGGAGGATGAAGATAGTAGACGTTGCCGAGTTGAGATATGTTGTGATTAAGTCTCAGTTTAGTTCTACATGTTCTATATACGACGAACCTTATCGCTTACGCTTCTATCATGGCCTGTACGATCTACCGTTCCACTTGCTCAGGCCTTCTCGAGCCGGAATAAACTTTACTTACGCTTACTGCCGGTTTAAGGAGGGTTACCGAGGATACTACAGTAATTTAAGACCCGCAGGCTACTGCCACCCAGGACGGAACCACGAGTGAGAGGCTGCCATTCGACAGCTCCGCGTAAGAAATGCGCAATACGCAATGAAGACCACACAGGCAGCTAGATATTTAAAGAAGGAACTCATACGGATCCTCCTCGGAGCCTCTACAAAACCACTAAGACCCCTTCTAGATAAGCCACCCGGAGCGACAGAGCGAGTGTGTTTGTGTGTGCGTCTGTGTATATGTGTACTAGATTATACGTCTTGCCGTTGTTACCGGGAAGCATATCTAAAGCTCTGAGTAGACTTTGTTCTAAATGCTATCCCACATAAATTTGATTCTCGAGTGTCGATCCAAGGAACCGGTAGCTTTTACCATGCGATTATTCTTGAACCTCGACAGGGGACCTTACCAGATCCGGTGCTTGATGCGGGGCTTCGCTAACAGTTTAATTTCAAAAATGACCTGGTTTTTGGTCGGTAAGTCGGCATCGGGTGGAGAGAGCTTCGCCAGATTGCCACTATTGGCTCTGATCATGCCTCCTTTAGCTTAGCTCCGCGACTCTGTCCCCAGATTCCCCGCATTCCCCAGCTTTACCCCAGTTCCAAGCATGAACTACCACAAGCTGCACTGAGCAGCGATCTGCATGATGCCTTTTCTTGCTCTCCTCGACTCTGCTTTCACATCATACAAGAATCGTCAGCTTTGATGCTCTTCCGGAACACCATACCACTTTCATCGAGACATATTTGGTCATGCCATCACCAATTCGTGAAGATCCTCCAACCACTTCAGCAACGCGAGGCCGATCCGGGTGCTTAAACTGTCGCAAGCGAAAAAAGAAATGTGACCAATCGCAAGCTGCCTCCCCCAACCTCTGTTTTCCGTCTTCTAACATCTCCAAAGGCGACGAAAGGAAGCCATCTTGCGTGAGATGCCAAAGGCACGACGACGACTGTCAATGGCAACCCGATTTCGCTTTTCGGATCGGCGGCGTCGATGCGCAGCATCCTTCCATGCTACAATCGTGCTCGCGAAAGAGGCTATCATATGCGGATTTGAAGGAAAGCTCATCGGCCGGCTAGTAGTACGAATTCCATAAAAATGCTAACGGATTTAACTGTACATTAGATCGTGGATGTGACGTTTGGCCCCGGAGGCCCGAAAAGAACGCGGCGACATCTTGTCCAGGTGGACCCGACTACCGACTCCGATGATGCTGGGTTCGGTGTGGAGGTAATTCAGTCAGAAGTCGAGCACCGCGATACAGAGGATTCGCCTTTAGCAAGAGAAAGTTCACCATTTTCTCTGACCCAAGGCGAATGTCAGCCTACCAGAATTTTTCCATCAGTCGAACAGCAAGCGCCTATTGACAGCAACAGTGACGAGACAAGACAAAGTCGGAGCGCAGTACGATTCAATGTATTATTAAACGACATATCCACCGAGTTTAGGTCTCCCGTGGTCCCAGCCCAACCCACCCTTGGTGATAACAAAAGTCACCAACAGAATAGTGCGACCCCTGAGCAGAGTTCATCATTCTTGAGCACCGTGCTCGAACAACGTGCGCTTCCAGGGTCGAGAAATGCAACGAAATCAATATCTCTGCCCGATGAGGCCAGTCCTGCGAGTCGTGAATCCCTCGATCTGGAGGTTTTGGACTATCTCGCTTCTAACCCCTTCAATCTGGATCTCCTGGCTGAAAATCCCTCTCCCAAACATGCAGTCGCTTCGGAGGACATGAACACGACTCGAGTAATGCATGGATTCCCTCCCGTAACTCCTGAATCTGCCGCTGGAAGCTCTCCCGATCTCTACATGGCATACTGCCACGACCCCGCGTACAAAGAGCTCCACTCTAGCTTCCACGATCACATGGTGAAGACTGCGAGAAACATAGCTTTAACACGTCAGGGGACCCCGGAAACGTTCCCCAGCACGTTGGAGAAGAGTCCAGAGCAGCCACCTGGGAGCCAGGCAAGTGGACGGGACTTTTCTCACGGTCCCTCGGGCGGCCGAAGCCGGTTGGTCAACTTCCACATGACCGAAGAGCGCTACGTCGAGCTTTGGCAGAATTACCTCGACGAAATTGCGCCCTGGCTGGACATGTTCGATAACGCAAATAACTGGCGCACAACGGTAGCTCACATGGCACAACGTGAAGACTGTCTTCAATACTCACTTCTTGCTCTCTCCGCACGCCAGCAGGAGCGGAAGAACCCTGGAAAGCCGCACACCGAAAGCTTGAATCTGTACCAGGAGGCCATCAGACTCATAATGGTGAAACTCCCTACGCTGCGCACCGAGATTATCGCGGCATGTGTATTGCTCTGCGTACTCGAGATGATGTGTTCGTCGCCGCGCGCATGGGGAAAACACTTGGACGGTTGTGCCATGCTACTTGAGGCTGCAGGCGTCAATGGCGTCGTGGGCGGAGTGAGGGAAGCTCTTTTCTGGACCTTTGCCCGGATGGATGTTTACAAGGCCCTCATTGCAGACACCATCACGACTTTCCCGACGAATCGTTGGTTTATCTCGGCCGACTCCATGTCTGCCGCTGTTCGCCTATTCAAGGGCAAATCGGGAAGCGACAGCTACGCCAACTATGCTGTGTTCCTCTGCGCCGGCGTGGTGAACATCTTGTCCAACAACGGATCGCCCCGTGCCCTGTCTGACCGCAACAGCTATGCGACCTTTGTCTCTCGCTGGAAAGCAATGTATGACCTCCTTGAGGGCTGGTATAACGACAGACCAGAAGAGATGAGGCCGTTGATGTACGTCCCGTCCTCGAAGGGAGAGACGAATTCGCCCTTCAGCACGATTTTGTACAGCACACCGCCCGGTATAAGTAGCAATCAAATGTATCACGCCTCAATGATTCTACTGCTGCAAGATAAACCCAAGGAAATCGTCATCCCCAAATCGCGCAAGTCCATGTTGTGGCACGCCCGGCAGATATGCGGAATCTCTTTGTCGAACAGCGATCATGGGGCGTTGATCAACGCGCTGCAGCCCATCTGGATAGCGGGGAGGTTAATGTCCCATCATTCCGAGCACAAGGCCATCTTGGATACCTTGAAGTATATTGAAGAGACAACGGGCTGGGCGACTTCATGGCGGGCAAAGGATCTTAAAGAATTCTGGGGAGTTTGTGACGAGGAGCTTTGAGTTAATACGCGAATTTCTGTCGCCATTTACGAGGCGCTTACTTGTGCTTTTTTACATGGGGCAAACAGATCTAATTCGGTCCCGTTTCTGTTGCTTCAGGAAGTCCCCGAACACTAGCGACCTTGTTCCATTTTTTTTTTCTTTTTCTTGGAGCTGATGACGATTTATATTAATGGTCGAGGACATCAAATTCTGACCTATGTACCGCTATATTGCAAATCCTCCGAACGATAACTGTAACCTTCAGTTTCCTGTCGGTGATATAACGCACTCCAAGTCGGCTATGATCAATGCTTACGAGGCATGGATACTTTTTTTTCAAACGATCCGTCAGCATGAGGCTCCCTGGGATATTGACAAGAGGTGGTCCTTACCTGATCTGAATTGTCTTGGTTTGGATATACTCATTGAGACCTTCCAATCCACCCTCTCTGCCGTAGCCCGACTGCTTTACGCCGCCAAAAGGCGTGTCAGGAGCAGGGAAATACCAGTCATTAATCGCAACGGTCCCGGCCTCGATCTCCCTGCTTACGCGGAGCGCTCGGTTGATATTGTTGGTGTAGACGCATGCTTTTCAAGCGTTTTGTTAGAAAGACGTGTAGAGACAACAACCACTGATTTGATTTAGAGTGTGTCCAAAGGATGAGAACTTACCCGACAATCCAAAGACGGTATCATTAGCCAGCTTGATGGCATCCTCTTCCGTCTTGAAGGTCTGCACGGTGACGACAGGTCCGAAAACTTCCTCTCTCACAATCCTCGAATGTCCTGGGGTGTTCTTGAAGATTGTAGGTTCAACGAATAGGCCCACATTGCCCCGTTGCACGCCTCCGGTCACGAGTTCTCCGTCTTTCTTTCCGACCTCGAAGAACTCCATGACGCGATCGAATTGGGCTTTATCCGCGAGGGGGCCGACCTGGGTGTTCTTGTCCGTGGGGTCACCGATAGCGCCGCTCTTGCTGACGGTCTCGAAGGAGGTTTTTAGAAGGTCGATGAAGTTGTCGGCGATGCTTTCTTGGACGAAAACGCGTGATGCCATCTAGTTATCACCGCGTTCGATTAGACTTTATAGTGAACGCTACTGAAGGAATGAAAGGGCAACGTACTGCGCAAATTTGACCGGTATTCGCGAGGATACCATCCCGAGATCTGACTTTAAATTAGATGTGTTTTTTTCCTATCGGTTATTATTAATAGTGGTTCCAGACTTACCTTGCAACGGCAAGTTCAAGGTCGGCGTCTTCGAAGATGACAGATGGAGATTTGCCGCCTAGCTCGAGAGATACACGCTTCAAATTGCTCTTCGCGGCGTATTCCTGGATCTTGCGTCCGGTCGCCGTACTTCCTGTGAAACCGATCTGACGGATCTCCATGTGCGAGGCCAGTAGCTGACCGGTTTTCCCACCACCGTTGACGATGTTGATAGTGCCAGGAGGAAAGCATTCCTTGATGAGCGGCCCCAGGGCAAGAGACCCAAGCGGGGCTTTTTCGGATGGCTTGAAGATGAAGGTATTTCCGGCAGCCAGCGCGGGCTAATTAAACACGTCGCGAGATAGTATTAGCCAAAAGAACCAACCTCTTGTGTCGACAAAAATGCTCTGTAATATCCAAGGCCAGGACACTCACAGCTGCTTTCCAAGCGAAAAGAATGGCAGAGACATTCCAAGCGCCGATGCCAGCACAAACGCCAATCGGCTCTTTCTGAATGATCTTGTATCTGCCAGTCGAAGTCGGGTACGCGGCCTCGCCGAGGATCTTGTCGGCCAAGCCAGCGTAGTACGTGAACAGGTCGGCGCCCTGCTTGTAACCGCCGCTTTGCATCGCGACAGCAGATCCCATGGCCCGGGTCTCTAAAAGTCCCAGCTCGTCTGACTTTTCGCGGATCAAGTCGGCGAACTTGAGCATGGCTTTCGCTCGATCAGTCGGGTCCATCCTTCCCCAGGAACTCTTGAATGCTTTCTGTGCGGCGTCTACGGCGGCATCGACATCTGCCTCGCCTGCTGAATGAATCTTGTCGGATACGAGAGTGCCATCTGCGGGATTATACACTGACAGGAACTCGCCGGACTTTGCGTCCACGAACTAAAGGAGAACGAGGTTTGCGTTAACGAACTGCCAGCGAGCAGCAACGAAAATACCTACCTCATTATTGATGAATAATTGTGTCTCGAAGGTGGCCATTATTATGGTGATGGTTCTTAATCACAATTTTCTATAAAAAATATGGAAGTCGCTTGAAGCGTATATTCTCTCAAACAGTTGACAGTCGTCTCAAGCACGTCTCTCCTGATCGCACGTAAACAAGCACAGGATTTGACAACTTCCTGCAGTACATTCCCTTCTACTTTATCTTTTCAGTGTCCCCTCTTTTCTCCCCTCTTTTCTCTCCCCTTTACCCCATGCCGGGGTCCCGAGCTAGAACTTCGTGGAGCTTCGGATTTTGCGAGCGCGCCCGCGGAAACCCACCTTCCCCGCACGATCCGGGGTTTAGTGTTTCTAGTTCTCACGGGAGATAGAAGGCGCTACGAATCTCCGTTTACAGGAATTCTAAATTGCCGTTTCTGGCTAGTGTACCGCCGGCCAGAGAACAACCCTGCCTCAAAAACCACCGTGCTGTGCTTCGAGGCCATTGGGCCGAGGTCTCCATCCCCCGTATTAACTACAATTGGTAATTGATTCGGGACAGATCCAGGGCCCACTTACATCTCTTAGTCGCACCCGAAACGATGCTTAGCTCGGGGACGAGACCGGGGGTAACTTCATTGACAGTCTCGCTTGCCTTTTGAGGCTTGAGCACTCTCGGCAACTAACCCCGCCAAAGGTTCCAAGGGTCTGTCGACTGTGGTTTGATGGATCACCCGCCCCTTGCCCTACCCCCGGGACAACCCCGGACAACTCCAGAATCCTTCGTCTAGATCTGGTAAGATGTAAGGATGGATTGAATCGATGAGATAGATTTATACGGCATGATCTCTGCTGTCCCTTTTTCAGCTCGACAGCGGCTCACTTCGTTTACGAACCTGTAGAGGGCACAATTTCTCAACCCAATAGCCAAAACGCCAATTCACATCTAGCAGCCATGGCCATCAAACTTCGTGGCCCGGCGTTGTACCGGCTGATGAAAATCGTCAGCGGCCTGTCATTCTGCATGTATGGCTACGACGCCGGTGTGTTAGGTGGCATGCTCCTCCACAAGCCTTTTCAAGATGCCATGGGTAATCCGACCGGTGTCTGGATCTATCCCATGATTGTCGCATCGTAAGTCTTCGCGGACACACACCTATTGGCAGACAGACAGCTTCCGGCCTAGTCTTAGACGAACACATTCCACTGATAACCTAGCACAGGTACGATCTCGCGGCGTTTGTCACGTCCATCGTGATTGCGACCTTCACGATGAGGATTGGGCGCCGAGGCACCATCATCATGGGTAACGTTGTGGCTGTCTTTGGAGCTATCTTGCAGGCAAGCTCCTACAGCGTCCCTCAGATGATTGTGGGAAGACTCTTGACCGGTTTCGCCATTGGATCCATCTCCAGCTCTGTGCCGACCTATCTGAATGAATGTGGTAGCAAGATCCACGACCGTGGTCCCGCTAATGCAATCAATGCCATGTTCTTGATGGGAGGCGTGCCTCTTGCGTATTGTACGTTCCAAGAGCCTTCTCGGACGGCTTCCCTCGCCTCTGCCCCCATTTAACAACGCTTCTAACGTGAGGTCAAGGGATCGACTACGGCTTCGTTCACTGGGGACACCAGGCCAGTTGGCGCCTTCCTGTCATTCTGCAGTGCTGCTTCGCGATCCCTGCAGGCTTGACCATGTTCTTCCTCCCCGATACGCCTCGATGGTACTACGCCCGAAATAGGGTGGAAGAAGGTGATGCTGCACTCGCCCAGCTCTACGACGAGGACATCGATTCCCCGGCAGTTCAGGAAACGAAGAGGAACATTATGGCCGCTATTGAAATTGAGCTGGAAGCCAACTCGAGCATCTCGTGGCATCAATTCCTGACCCTTGGCATCGTGGATAATACAAAGCTGAAAATCATCCGGCGTCTTGTTATCTGCTTCTGGCTTCCTATGGTGAGTAATTTAGTGGTTACCCTTTCACCCTCTACTCCTAAGAGACATTTTCTCTGACAGTAGAGCAGCTCGGAGAATGGCAGGGAATCAGTTTGCTTGCCTACTTTGCACCGGTAATTCTGAGCGGCATCGGAACGTCGCCAGGCACTGTTGCTGTTATCTCAGGCGTCCTCAGCACTTGCATGTTCCTGGGCACAGTCCCGCTCTACTGGTGCGTATACCGAGGTCGACCGCGTCCACTACTTTGTTTGAATGAGCTTACTGACCCCTCTGCACAGGACCATTGAAAAATTCGGCCGTAGGTCGACCATGCTGTATAGCGCCATAGTCTCGTCGCTGCTCTACATCGTCTTCATTGTCCTGGTGGCAGTAGGCGGCCGAGGAGAGCAATGGGCGTCGGTCGTGATGCTGTTCCTCATCGTACCTGTCCTGTCCTACGGTTGGCAGGCGAACAAGTTCCTCTACAGTAGCGAAATCTCACCGCTTGAGTATCGACATATTGGTGGCGCGTTCTTCTCCAGCGGCGAATGGTTGATGGTATTCATCACTGTTTTCGCCTCGCCGATTGGCTTGGATACGTGTGGTTGGCCGTTCTGGTTCTTCATCCTGGCAGGCAACATCTTGTCCGTCATCTTTGTCTGGTTGCTTTGTCCAGAGACGGCTGGCAAAACGCTCGAACAAGGTAGGTCGAGGTCTTCTCCAAGTATGACAGAGGTTCAGAAAGTTAACGGAAAACAGTGGACTATTTGTTCATTGGCAAAGGCTTCGCAGGATTGCGAAGGGATGGCGACCACGATATCGGCCAACCTGAGAAGAAGCTGGAGCATACTCACGTTGAGGACCGAGAGGAATCCGGTGAATGAACTCCTACCAGGAAAGAACATAATCCGGAAGGTGAAGGATGCTATAGTGCACCGGAGCGCTTTTTTTTTTTCTTCTCTTGAGATTGGCGTATGTTCATTGGACTTAATGTAGTGGATGTAGTATCCACCCAAATCGCGGCCAAAAAGGTCGGGCGCCAAGCAAGACGCCAGGCCCTGACTCTATCGAGTGTTGATTATGATGAAGCCCCAGGACGAAATCGATCTTCGCCGGACCAATCACGAGGTGTTTTACACTGTATTCAATTTTACAGTTCTTAATTCCCAGAATTTGCAAGCATCCAGTATGATATACCAACCTCTTCAAGAAGAGGCACCAATGTTAGCGGCCATGTTTCCCTACGGCGCGTCGGACGAGCAGCGGGTACGACCGCTGAACTCGGTGTCGTGTTACGCCCAGATCCTAACATGGCTTAGTGTCTGTAACTGGGGTTGATGTTTGCAGGAGTCAAGGATGCAACTGAGTGGAGGCGTAAGACATGGTGTCTCTTCAATAATGAAATGAAGACTTAGATCGAAAGCTGCCTAGGTAGAGACAGTGAGTTCTAATTTAAGGAAACTATTTTTCTTATTATTCATCCCGCTGGGCGATCGTTGCCCTGGATCACGCTGGATCTGGGTTTGTCGGCCATTGAGTCTCTTCTTCGGCGGTCAGCCGGGCGGTCGTCCTCGCGGAGCAGCTTGTTGAGCAATTGAAGGTGGCTGTAAATATATGGTGGCGATCTTGTGGATGGATGGCCAGGTCGGCGTTTTTTGCGTTGCCAATAGGCCGGTTAAGGTAACACTTAATGAGGTAGACAGCGGCAACTTGACTAAACGATTACTTTGCCCTCGTGGCGTCGTCGTCGTGAGCTGAGGTAGTGCCACGAAAGCCTAGGCTGTGGGGAGGATCCATAATTTCACTTCAAGCCTAGACCTCCAGAGAACCGGCCGGTCTCCAGTGCAGTGCTTCGATCAATGCAGCTCACCCACTACAGATGCACGCCAAGACGAGCGTATAGGATACCATAGTAGCTAGATACATGTCGTGCCACGGAAGAAGTTCTAGGTTGACGTGAGAGAGTTCCCTTTTTTGGAAAGGAGGGCAAGATGTATGCTTGGGAACGTTCCTGACCTTTCCAACCCATCACGCGTGTCTTCCCTTCTACGGCTGAGACAGGGTAGTATCGGACCTGGCCTCTTCAGTATCAGACTCTCGAATTCAGCATCGTTGCTGTATCAAAATGTTTGAATGCGGCTGAGCTGCAATGATATCCTTGGCCGGCCAACCCAACCGAGGGCTCATGAAATCTCATGGCTCTCGTTAGCTCTCCAAGAAAATCATTTAACCCACTTGCGGTTTGCCGGTTCCTGGCATCTGGTCGACTACTCAGAGGGCGGAGTCCCATCTTCTTGTCGAATTATCAGTCGTGGGTACTTTTTTCATCAGACTCTGGTGATAGAATTGCGTATACTAAAGGTATATCTCCGGCCTGGTCTGCGGCCTTTATGCCCAGACCTGTCCGCACTAGGTATGTGATAAGATGTTTAACGCTAGCGGCGACGGCGATGTGAAGCGCCATAACTCCATCTCTTAGAAAAGGTGAAGCGCCACGTTCCATCGGAAGCTTGGCAGTGAAAACCTGCCAATGGCGAATAGAAAAGAGCCATGTATTGACGACTTGTTCTATCTAAAAAGGCGCGGAAAGTGTTGCCCTTTTATTTCCACATGGGTCCACCATTTCCGACTTGTTTTCACTAACCTTTTCCAAGACAGTTTCACTGCTGTAGATCAGTTTACTAAAAGCGTAATGGCTGTAATGCACCAGGTAGCTCTCCTTCAGGCAGGGAATGCCTCGGTCCGCAAGGCCAACGAGGCACTAAGCAAGCGCCGACGAGCTGCTAGAACACGCCTAAGACTCGGAGGATCACTTATTATACAAAGGATCACTTATTATACAAGAGGAAAAGGGTCTAGTGGATCAGAAGGCTAAAAGTGGGGAGGCAGTGCAACAAACGCCGCCGGATAGTAGTGATACAGGGGGTCTCGCAAGAGCAGTGCTATAGCGCATGCGGCAAGCCTGGGCATAACGCACGCACTTGCCAGGAGGCCGCAGAATCATCTGATTTAGCTGTTTCTGATGTAATTATAGTTAGTTCCTGGTGTTTTTAATAATTGAGGATAGTTATTATAGAGTAGTGGGAGATGGGTCACTCACTTGTCTGGGTCGCTCGCTTATCATGTACGTTAAGGGCTGATTAAAGAATGGCTTGAGCCTGCGTGGGCAATTATAGCATGAAGAGTGGTATTGACGGGAATACTGCAGGGAAAGCTTGACATTTGTAGGATATTGTATACTTAGTATAGAATAGTCCTGCCGCCTGATATTCCAATAGGGATGCCGACATGCCCCCGTTTTCCGGCCGTATGGCGTTAAATAGATACACACGCACACCCTAGTAGAATAGTTATCCCTGAGGGTAGGATCGATTCCCCATCCACGCTATGCTACCCTCCATCGCGAAGGCTTCTTAGTCCTCGTCGTCACTCCACTCTCCCTCGTCAGACAGATCGTCAAATTCTGCATCTTCTTCTTTCGCCCTTTCCCAAGCTTCCCTCGACTCTAGTGTGTACCGCTCGGAGGGCCGCTCAGACCAGGGACCCAGGTATGAGGCGTTCTCGACGGCCCAATCAAGGTATCCCCAGATCCGGTTCACACTCACATCGGCCAGCATTTCCTCAAACGTCCGATGGCCGGCAGCGCATGGCCTTGATGCATCCTCCTCCAACATGTCCTTAATCTCGTTCTCCGAGTCTCGTGCCGCACACGCTCGCGCGTCATTCAATAGATCCAGAATACCCTCCGTCTCCCACCAGGCAGCGTACGAGTGCTGCAGCGCCATCGCCACTTCCTCCCAGGAGCCACTCGAGGTGTACTCTGGCTTGTCGGAAAGCGCCTCATCTGGATCAAAGAGGCGGAACATGAAACCGTGGTTGAGCTTATTAATGGTCGCGCCGAGCAGGCGGATCTGGCTCAGGATCGTCTTCTCGGTCCGAGAGAGCGACTGAGAGGACTCTCTCAGGAATCGGGCGGACAGGGGACTCCGGATCACCGCCGACCCGAATTGTTCCCACAGATCCAAGGGGACCGATCTTAGGGCAAGGATCTTGCGGGTAACTTTGAGGTTGCGAATGTCCACCAGCAGCTTCAGTTTCAGCAGCAGAATAGCAACAACGTGGTTGAAATCTGGGTATTTGTCGAAAAAGTGCTCGTTCTCGAGGACGTCTGCTCCGTGGAGGTCAAGGTACGGCAAGGTGGTATCACCCCAGTCATAACGGCCGTCTGGGTCACAAGTCGCCCACCACTTGATGAAGTCATAACACTCCTGGTCAAGATCGAGTCGGAGCATGATCGCCGGCACAATGTCTCGAAGCGCCAAGTTGTCGCTGCGGCAGAGCCTCAGCAGGTCCCACATGTGTTCATAGGCCTCCTGGACACCATCGAGCGTGCCTAGCCGAAGCAAATTCCCTCCAGCCAGCGCGAGCCGCGCACGCATATAGTCGCGAGTGCTCCAGATGCCCCAGAAGCGGCCGACGCTCGTCTCGAACGCATTGGCGGGGGTCATGATGTCCGGCTCGGCGTTGCGAACGCGGTGTTCCTCCTCGGCGAGCTTGTCTCGCGCTTTCTTGATCTTGTTGCACGCGCCTTTGTGTTGGGCTCGGTGGGCGATTTGGTGCTCACGGCCGCAGTAGCGCACCGCGCGGCAGCCGCCGCATCGGAGGAGAGACGAGTCTGTTGCTGAGCACTGCGCGCAGCGATGGCGCAATGGCCCAACTGGCCCTTTAAACGCACTTTGGATGTCGGGCACCTCGGCCATGTCTGTTGTTGCTGATTGTTCACCGGGATGTCGAGAAATGTCGGTCAGTCGACGCGGGACAGAAATGGTCACAAAACAAAACCCAGCCTAGTCCGGTTAGGGTGGGGCGGCAGGTTGAGCAAAATCGGCAGAACCTATTAAGTCGTCACCCTAGTCAATTGGCCACCGCCTCAACTGGGCCACACTTTCACACTACCTGGATCCAGCTTCTATCCAGCCTCTGGCATGTGCTTTACCACCTTGAAGCAGGAGCAAGTAAATCGAAAGATGAACTCAACGCTGCAATTGTGCTAGGAAAGTGGGTTGCCTGGGATGATGATATTGGGAAGGAGTAATCATCTCACTATCATCCTCATGTCCTTCCCACAGGATAGCCCTTTCCCTCTCCTCCAGCCTCAGCCATGTGCTGTCATGTGCTTTTCCCCTTAAGGCAGGAGTGATACTCAATGATTCAGGATTTTGATTTTGTTTGGGATGATTTGTGCCTCAATGTTTGCAAAACAATTCACAATTAATAAGCCATTGGTGCTACGTACTGTGTGGTCTGTCCATAAAAAGGATGCCTCCCTCCAACTTCTCAGTCCCCTAAACTCATTCCTCAATCCCTCCTTTCCTTGGCAACTCACTGTGTTGTTTTCATTTTCTCTCTCTCTCTCTCTATATATATATATATATATATTCTAACAGACGGCCCTATGTGGGCATCCGTATCGTGTTCCCAAGGTCGACTAGCGCGGACGTCTCGGTCTTTGACGCGGAGGGTCATCTGAGCGCCGCACTTACAATCGAGATTCGACTACACGCTGGCACATGGGCGTCGACGGCCGAGGTAATATCTCCCGAACTGGAGAAGAAATTGCCTAAGCCCGAAGGCAAGACGAACCCAATGTGTCTCCTACGGTTCAAACTCAAGGGTGGCGAAACCGCGTCCGTTGACGGCATTGGGCTTCCATTTGTTGCAGAATGTGAAGACGACAACCTCATTGTGAACTGTGGTCATCCTCTGGATGGCGTCTAGACACTTCGGGAGTTGAGTGCCTGAAAAGAACTTGTAGTTCTCTTCAGGGGCCGCAGGATGATGACCGGGGGGAAAACAAATTTTGCTGAGGACTTCCCGGATCCAATCCAGCCTGTATTCTCATACAGCACAGGGTAAGCCTGTATCGGATTTTTCTCTTACTTCATCGTCGGTCTCTATTTCCTGTTAATTCGTTAATTTTCTAACCCCCTTCTTTCCTTTTAGACCTTGGAGTATGCCCCGGTACGCAAGCGAGGTTCCTGCAAATGTGAAAGCCCTTCCTTTTACGCTCTCCTACAGGTTGACAGCCACCGTGACTACATGGCGAGCGTCGCGCAAGGAGTGGTGCAGGATGCTTTCCAGTTGGCAGAGGATGCCAGGGCCATTCGACAGAGAAATGTCGTATGCCTATTCTTGCTCGCCAGCGACAAGCCCGACGACCTGGCTCAGGAGTTGACTGTCCTTGTGTGGCACGGTTTTACGGTATGTGGTTTTGTAGATTATTCCTGTTCTTTCGCTTTCGATTTTTTCTAACTGTGGCGTAGGAACGAGACGAGTTTTAGCCGTCTCTTTCACGCCTCTTGTCGCCGGACTCCCGCATTGCCTTCACCTTTGATCTGCCACCTCCGGATGCCAAGTATGATGATTCCGAAGAAGGGACCAAAGACAGGGACTTCTAGGAGGCGAGACAAGTTCCTATGGAGGACGAGTGAAAGGGCGGTAATTGTGATTGGGCCCTGAGGATCCATTGCCCCCGGCAGAAGGATATTAACTCCATCGCCCTCAACCGCCCCATCCGAGCTTACGACGACTTCAACGCTGGCCAGATGGTCGGGTACGACGGTAATAAATATCGCCTGAAGCTCGATGCTGGTTTGCATGTAGCTCCACGTCGAGCTGAGGCTGTCCATGCCGCGTTGGAGGAGAGCGACCCCCTTGATGAGCACAAGCACAACATCAAGAAGGAGTTCCAAGCCGGCGCCGGATTCCGATCCCTGCCGGGCAATCACGCCTTGGCAAGTGGTCCTGGTGGAGATGGCGTCGAATCTGCCATGACCTCCTTCGCCGATATGGCTTTGGCTGCCCCTCCCGCTCCTACCTCTGCCTCTCCCGTTCCTCCCTCTCTTTCCCCCCTCTCTATCCCTCGAGATTGCTGGAGGTTGGCATCGTCGACCCTGTGAACCGCAAAATTAGGGGAGCAGTTGGGAAAATGGTCAGCGACAAAGCGCGCCTCCCATTTTTGGCGTATCTCAGAGCTACTCGCCTCGGCATTGTGGGAATTATCGGCTTCGCTAGGTCTGGAAAGACCCAACTCCTAGCTCTAACGGCCAGACTCTATATGGCACAACCGGAGATCAGCAAACTAGCCTGCAGTGCCCCCACTCATGTTGCTACGAGCAACTTTGCCGCCAGCCTACACCATTTAGGTGTAGAGATCGCCAAGGAAACAAATACTCCTTTCCCGCTCGTCGTGCGTGGCTACGCCATCAAGACCGAGATTGCGGCATTCATTAAGATCGCAGCAGGTCAATCCCGAGGTGCAGAGGCGGAGGAGGACATTATCGATGCCTACAAGGCTCGCAGCAGGTGGTCGTTGAACCTCTCACCTTGTGAGTGGCTCCTCAAAGTCGTCGGAGCCAAAGGTTTCTCCGTCGCTGCCTCCGACCCCGAAGCCCTACGGCCTCTCCAACGTCCTATTGAAACCGACCGCAAGTTTGAAGGCCTTCGCCAGTTTGTAGCTGGCAAGATCTCATTTGCCGAGGTTGGAGACTACACTCCGAACGATGTGCACGCGGAAACCGCCCGCCAGATGGTGCGACGCCTCCTTGAGGACATCGTCATGGCCGCCGACGCCGTGTGTGCCACACCTTTCGGCTTGAGTCAGGCCCCATACGCGCAGTCCAACCGCGAAGTGGCCAAGGCTGTAGTTCTGGACGAGGCTGGGTCCATGCCGCAGGCAGACGCGCTTCTTGTTTGGGGCGGCGGCTGCTGATCTTGTATCATAGCCGGTGATCCTAAGAAGTCATGAACTTCGGCAGGAACCGTGACGGAAATTTAGGCAATATGTTCTATTATTTGGCCAAGGTTTCACAGCTGGAGCATGTGATGAAGATGAGTTGGCCTTTGTTTTGTACACGATGATTGTGGGAAGGTACAATCAAGCGGGCTGGGAAGTGGCGTCCGATTTAAACGGGCTGGATCACCCTGTTACCTTGAGGAAAAAAAAAAAAAAAAAAAAAATAAAGTCTTCTTGTTGTCAAGTCCTTCCGTGCTTGCCGTTATTTCCTTCCGTGGTAAATGGGGCGTCCCTTCCCTTCGTGGTTGCGTAATTCTCGAATGATTCACAGCGAAGCGGCGAAAGGGGAAAATCAATGTCCTCAACGCGACAGGATCTAACAAGAAACCATCCCTCCGACACACCCAACCTAGTCCCGTCCGATACCGCATTCCTGTCGGCATTTATCGATCAAACAACCATGCAGGCTTTTATATCATAGTCGTCCTCTATCAACACCGCGATCGAAGCCCTTCAGGACAGCGCAACCAACCGACCAGGAGGAATAAGTCCGCCGCTCATTTGCGTTGATGAGTGTGATGAGTCGAGCTCCGCCACAGGAGGACCTCGTGTCCGCGTATGAGCGCGCTGAAATCCCAGACTGGAAGAACATCGCAGCGAACCCTCACATGCCCGAATTTCAACTGAAGCCGCCCTAGATAATCGACGCCACCTGGATGCTCGACATGGAGCAGGGACCCCTGAAGGGTACTGCGGGCACCTTCCTCGCCGAAACCTCCAATTGTACTGATTCATGGCTTGTGATCAATCCGATCCTCAAATACAAAAAGGCTCGAATCCTCTCTCTAGAACGCTCCCCTCTTTGTTCTTTTCTCATTCATCTTAAACCCGGATAACCAACTCGATGCGCTCTTCTGTGGACGTAAATCGCGCTCATCTAAGTCCGGCCTCGAAGAGCTAGACTTGTCGATCCGTTCCGCGGCACGTCCGACACGATCAGTCCATGGCTACAACATCAATACAACTGTCTCCTTCAGCCTTCACAGTAACGACAATACAATGAATTCTCTTCGTCGAGTTGTCCCGGCACGCAAGCAGTCCCTGCCACCCACGGTGCCTGCAGCATTAACAGTGTATCGTCCCGATCTTCAAAGCAACAATAATTCGTCGGTTGTATCGCAGTCACAGAAATTGGTACGATCGTTGCACCTACAGAGCCAGAGGGATCGGTACCACTCGGGACCAATAAGACGGCCAGTCCACGCCTCCGTACCCCGGCAACTTTCGTACGGAGGGTCACAAGATCGATGGCAGAGAATGCAATCGAGCCTGAACCCACACCAAACAAGCCTCAACTCAGCAGGGTAGGCTCCTTGAGGAGCAGCTCCCGTTGGAGATGCTCCGTCCATTCTCTCCCAGACGAATGCGGTAAACGCCCGCAGCCGGAGGCAAGCGAAATGGAAGATGTACAACGTCTAACTTTCGTGCGGGGAGTCACGAAATCGATGGCAAGGAATGAAGTCAAGCCCAAGCCTAAGCTATGCAGACAGAGCCACACCGGAGCCGAAGCCGCGTTTTTCTAAATCTGGGCCAGAGAGCTAGACTTGTCCACCCATTCCCCGACGCGTCCGACCTACAGACGAGACTTTCCACATGGCCATGAGATCATTCCAACGTCCAGCCACAGGAGCCTCTGCGGCTTTTATGCCATAATCACGAGCTTGCAACCACAACACCCTGTGGCGCCAAAGCCGACAGCGGATGAACTCCGTGAAATGGCTGAAAGCGACGCGATGAAGGACATCGTGGAACTCATTAAACTCGCCAGCGAATACCAGTGAAAGATCCGTCGTAGAATGGATCGACTTCCCACATTGGCGGAAACATCAGTTGGTCGAAAGATTAGCCCGGGAGAACGGACGGTATCGGGTCAATTTCACAGAGATAGTCAATTACTCGTACTCTCTTGAGGAGACTCTGGCCCGGAGGGCCTGGTTGAATCAGGATGAGGTGGATGCCGGATTCATCTTTGCGACCTTGGGACTGTCTAACATTACCATTGCCCCACTGTACTGCCAACTTCGACCAGATGACCCCTCCTATTCGGCAGGTGTCAAGTTCACGGCTCAAGTAGGAAGGCGGGAGAAATCGTACCGAGCCCTATGGGCGGGAGGTGAAAGAGCCTGGCACACTCGATACCTGGTTTCCTGCCTGCACTTCGATGACCCGGCCCATTGGACTACCATGATCTGGGACCGACCACGAGGAGAGCACTTCCGATTTCCTGGCAGATCACCTGGCTGTCATGACACAGGAGTAGGGTCGGAATGCCTGGCTCAATACTATCCATTCCATCCGGAGAGATGCTCAACTCCAACTGATCTTGGGCTCGGGGACAATCACGACCACCACTACGACTGTCTTGATTCATAACGACGACGCAGCGGATCGAGCCAGTAACACCCTGGGCCGTTACTCCAGGATGGCGCGGAAGGCTCCTCAAGTGATTGCGGATACTGCTTTCACCCGTGAGCATCGGAAGGAACTTTCAGGCGATTTCTGGCAAGACAAGTCCTGGTCGAGTCAGCGCCTGCTCCAGGCCTAACCACAGGATCGCTGTCGTAGCTGACAGCGCAACTAAGTGGGACAAGAGTAAGGTCCGGGAGCGTTTGAAGAGTACAAGAGTCATTCACCAGATTGCTGGGGCCTTACCGGATAATATCAACGATCTGTCCCTGAATAGGATCCTTTCTATTTTCGTGTATTCCCACCCCAAACTTGCCCCGCGCCCTGACCGTGACTACAGGGTCGAGGTAATTCGAGTGTTAAACCCCGCGGTTCGCCTCCAAAATAGGACCTACAAGCCATTGGGAGGAACTAGCGCCAACGGTTCTGCTAGCTTCCGGTAATTGAACCCCAATTGCCGCCCCTTACGATCGAGATGAGGCCTTGGTAACATGCGAAAAGTTGGCTGACACCTTAAACCGATAACGAAGACACCATCTCAAGCGGCGGAAAACTCGGAACACTGCAGAATTGTACGTTTCGAGCTCTGGTCGTCGATGCTCGCATGCTAGTACGCTGCCTATCAAGCCCATCGAGCGCCCTTGGCCATCGTTTGAAAACCGGCCTAAATCTATGGACACTGCGGCATCTAGATCTAGAAACATTGGAGGGTGGTGTGATGACTATCGCGTCCGCAGCCAGAGCACCAGACCCAGGAGATATCGTGTTCTATACAAATGAACTGAAAAGGCAGTGCTCATGGGGCGTCTTTCTGACCCAAGATCCTTTGATAAGGCACAGATGGCAAGATTTCGGGATATCATCTGGAGAACAAGAGATCAGTGTGTTGGGGGTCTCCTTTCCGCCACCTTCGGCGCCTGGAAAACCTGCACCATTTGTGTTGGACCCGGACAGACAGCTCGCAAGAGCATCCCAGGAACGCTACCATGGCCGAAAATCGAGTCTTTGGGTCTGCCCTAGATCAACTCACCCTACAACACTGAGGGCTTTCGAGATGTATGGGGTCGGAAGACATTCTCGACACGTGGATGCTTCTTGCAAAGGCTGCGGATAAAATAAACGCAAGAGTCGTTGCAGGGGAGCATTCACCCAACTTTTGTGATTGCGTGGGCGAGTGCACGCTTCAGCATCCATACAGCATGTGTGGTGTGGACAGATCACGCACTTCCGTGACGACTTACCGGGACGAAGACCGAACATGCCTGATCTGCCCGACGCAGGACAGTTGTTAGCTTCCCGTAATATCAGCGTAGATGCCATCTTCCTTTCACGCTTGACAACAAACGCAAGACCGCAATTCACTGGGCAGATAATATTGCCCTAGTTCTGGAATTGCCCTCAATTAGGGGAAGCATACGCATCTCCCAATCTTCTTCCGAGGGCTTGGAGATTGTTTTCGGATCTCCCAGGGACCCGCGTGGGAAAACCACTTAGTCTATTTGTCGGCCAGGGTAAATAATCAATATACCGACCGGATCCTCTTGGGCCCAAGGGCAAAAGCCGACTGGGCTTGACTGTCAGCACTGCGCAGTTACAGTATTACTACAAGGCAAATCGGTACGCTCTTCATTGTCCGGGACACCAACATCCTTCGACTTCAGACCAACAAATATGCCAACAATCCAAGAGAAAAAACTATCAATTGTCTCTGGAATGGGCCTCGGGGAGACTACACCCTGGCAGGCCAATCTCGCCTGATGCAGCGATCCCAAGAACCCCCAATAATCCCCGAAGTAAAATGCGTTGGTTAATAGAAGGCCGAGGGAAGGTCAGACCGCTACGGATCGAAGCTGAGCCCCGGCTTCATACTTCACTTTGAGGAAAACTACCCGCATGTCGCGGGCGCCATAAGTGACGCCGTAAAGAGGCATATACTCATAATACCTTGCATTTGCTGGCCTAGGTTCCAATAGCCGCTGTGAGGAAGGAAAATGCTAACTGCCTGTTAGGAGGATGACAAGCATGCAGGCAATCACTAATAACTGGGGTGCAGATGTGGAGGCCTTTCTAACTGCCTTTGTGAATGAGTTGCCAACCTTCTGGCAGGCTGCACATGCGCTCTCCCGCGACTGCCGCGACTTCGGCACTGAGCAAGGCGCCTTATGCACCTCATATACAAATCGGTGTGCTTTAGCTATCTCGGGTTGTAGCGTAACCGCCCACGTCACGACCGGGGATGTCTTGGTAGCAAGAAAGCTCCTAAAGTTGGAGGAATACCTGCTGTCAGCCCACGGGGCAGCCTGCGAGGCTGTAAGCAACAAGCTGACCGGCCTCATCTTATAAGGGGGCCCTATTTGCGACATCCCCATCACAGCAGATAGGGTCATCGTGAACGCCGCCCTATGTAGAAACGCCCCTGCTAGGTATGCCTCCCTTTCCCAAGTTTTCCATACAAACAGATTGCCTCAGTTACACCTTGAAGGCCCTGCTCCACATTGGATCTCAAATTT